CTACCTTCCATTACACCTATTGTTTACTCTTTTTTTTTTTTCTTTTTCTTTTTGATATTTGAGTTGATAGAGTGAATTGCTTGATTGGGATAATATTGGTACCAAAAGAAACTAACAATTTATAGAGTAGCTCAGGTTTGAACGAAATCGGTAAATTCATTAGGAGAGTTACACTTTAAGCGTTGTCCGTTTTGACAATCTTTGAATTAAAACATGGAAGTGTTACATTTTACCAACCGACTCATTCAAGTTGTATATAAGTTTTTACCGATGAATTATGTTGACTATTTGCTTTGTAATAAATAAGTTCTAATCATAAACTAAACTCTGAAACATTTTGTATCTTTTTTTATAAATGTTACAATTTCTATCTGTAACATTTTGTATCTTACTTATAACAGAAACTTCATATAGTGATACCTTTTAGATCCTATTTTATATTTCAAATTGAAGAAATCTTTATTTTTAAATATAAACTCCAGGGGGAAAAGAAAATCTTAAAATGTTAATCCGTCAATTTTTCAGTTCTGTTTTTGTTTTCTCGTAGACTGAATTAACTAAAACATATATGTTTACCTAATACTAAAATAGGTGGTGTGTGTTTCCACTGCGTAAACACTATAGGAGAATTGTGTTCTATTAGTGACGAAGAATTAAACTAGAACTTATTCAAAGTGGTGTAGGCTTTTACGATGTCTCTCTCCTTCATTATCAGCCAAGTCATAGGTTAAACAAAAAACGGCCTTTATGATCCACAAAGCCCAGCAGAGATCAAATGCTTGAGATCCCACATCGGTAACATTAGTCAGAGACATTGAATCAAATGGACTATAGATAAGACGCGGAGCTCGACCGGTATGATTCACGGAGCCGTGCAGTGAGAACAAAGCGAACTATTCTTTCACAACTCTGCTATTCCTACTCCCAATAGAACTAGCTAACTCCTAATTCTCTTAGGATTACATGAAGTCTATCTTATCCTAAACTTATAAGGTAAAAGTTTCTTAAACTCCAAGCTTAATGTTGATGCTTATCCAACATTTTTGTAAACTAACTCTGTAGATTTACCACTGATTTAAAGTGATTTAGAGATGTCGTTCTTTAAAGATTACTAGAAGAAGCATCAGTTTATAATAATCTTCAAAGGAGGACAAAGAGTGAATGACAATGTGATGTTTTGCACAATTGTAAAATACAATGTGAAAGTTGTTGATGCAGTACAAAACTCAGGAAACGGTTTGCCTTGGTGATGAAGCTATATATATATCTATTGACAATATTAAATTAAATGTTAATAGACTAATGTTAATAGAATAAGGAGAGTATCTTCGACTTCAAGGTTATTCAGATCACTCTCTATATAAGGTATAATTAGGTTTATTACCTTAGAGTTCGGAGGCTGAATATAACCTCTCGTTACAAACGAAAACCTTAGGAGATAATCACGAAAAAGTTTTACTGTTTTAGTTAAATCATTCCATGAATGCTTTTCGCAAGTTAAGCTAAGTCTTTTGATCCCACATCGGAAGAAGTAGTCAAGTTGGTCGGTGCTGTTCACATATATAATAAAAAGACTTTCTTGACCTAAAACTCATCTTTGCGCTTGGGGCAATGACTTCGGCTAATGAGGTTCTAACCGAGGCACAGCCATTGCTGGTTGAAAACTAATTCCAAACCCCCTCTTGAGCCTAAGCTTGTCTTGGGCTACTTGAGAATTTCTGGAAGGGGCTCTCTTTGGGGTAAAGCCCTACAATGTTCAGTAAAATATATATGGCATGGAGGGAGTTTTTATAGAAAGTACAAAAATAGCAAAACAGAAAGAAAAAGAATGGTGAGTTTAGATCGAATGGGTCGTCAAGCATGAGCATTGTGATGTATCCGTGGTTAGCCTTTGGTCACATGACTCTTCTTCTTCACTTCTCCATCAAGCTCGCAGAGAAAGGTCACACGATCGTTTTCTTGCTTCCCAAGATTACTCATAGTCATAGCTCTAGATTTTGTTTAGCAAAAGGATGAAGGCGCCAGTCACTGATAAGAAAGTAAGAACTCAAAGTTGAAAGTGGTAATATATTTTTGAAAAGGGGAGAATTACGGACTATGGTCTCGATTCGAATTTCATGTCGTAGAAGAATCCTTGCATGGTTGTCGAAGAAGAAGACCATTCTAGCGTGTTGCGTATAGATATGACAACTTTCATTAAAACTTGGATCAAATATTCGATTAAAAAAAACACGAAAACAGAAACTGCAGACTAGAAAAATCGCACAAAAGAAAGCGACTCGCACGTCTCAGCTAGTGTGAGCCGTAAATCAAAACCACCGGTTCACTAGAGAAACCATTCGGTTTAGACTGGACGGAACCTCCGATCATGAGTATAATATTAAAACAATAAATTATGATGGGCCTCATGGGTAGGCCCATATTTGACTTAAAGCAACTCATAAACGCCACCTGATTTTACATCCCACATCCGTTTTACAGTACTCACAAACAATGAAGAAACTGAACTATAAATATGACGCAGAGCTTTATCTTTCAATTCACGGAGCCGTGCAGTGAAGACAAAGCGAATTATTCTTTCGCCTTTTACTAAAGAATACGTGTCTTTTCTGCTCTTAAAGCAGCATACGCCTTGTTAGGATTTAGTGGCTCAAAAGGTGTCTCCTTTAAGAGCATAAACCACATTCAGACCAAGATATGAAGTAGCTTGAAGAATTAAAGCAGAGGCCAAAACAGAGAAGTTGCAGGAAAAAAAACAGAGTATGAGAGAAAGGAGAGAAGAAGGGAAGAAGAAGGAAGGAGCACACACAAGATTTAAGGAGTTCACGCCTATTAACGAGGGTCGCTACATCTCCCCGAGCTTTGCTCGGAATCCACTAGCTTCTTTGAGAGATTACAAATACAGAGATAAACAAGTGACCCGATCTAAAGCCCTTCACTAGCTACTTAGAACTCACTCTGTTCTATAGAAAACAAAGACAAAGCTTAAACTAAATTGTTTTCTCTCTACTCTCACTTTCGGCTACATTGTGTATCCTCTCCTTTCCCTTAGCTCTCTCTCTCCAACATGATACCCTTTTATACTCAAAGCACCTTAGGGTTTCTTGTGCAAAGACAAACCGCAACTAACACATTTCAAACGCCAAAATGTCTCATTGAGGTGCGATTACTTCCGCCAAACGTGACTTTCCCATTTTGAGCACAAGCAAACAAAATGTCCTTGACGAGGAGATAAGGTTGCAGCTTGATCAACTTCTACAAGCCGTTACCAACGCCAACGTGGTCTTAAAAGCAACTCAACCATGATTAAATAAATAACCATCTTGGTTAGACTTCTTGTGATCCCAAGCTTGTTCAAAATGAATCTACTTGTTCATCAAGTTATCACAATCTTTGAGAATAAAAGGAAATGAGACGACCAGATTTTAAAGGGACAAAAGAGAAGTGATTAAGGCAAACCATCTTCTTCTCTCTTGCTACTACAACGTGACAGAGCAAATATCATGGGCTTTAATATAATTGGGCCTTCGCCAATAAACAGATACAATACAGTGTATGTGCTTTCCTAAGTTTCCTTTACAATGCGTAATATCCCACACCGCTCAACTGGAAAATAATGTTGTTGTATATATAGCTGAGAGATAGCGATGATGGTCACGACCTTACTTGAACAGGATCTGTTCTATAGGCTCGTACCTCTGAATCCTTGGTCTCGAAGGAGACAGGCCCTAAGCCCTGGTTGATGATTCATCACTGTGCGACCGGAGCGTGATTAACGGCTATGATGATCTCCGGATGCATCTGGTGGTGTAGAGGATCGTTACTCGGCTCGGTTTAATCCTAGCCGGGGTGGTCGCACAGCGGTCTGACAGGTTACCTTTTTTTATTATTACTCGTCCGTTTTGAATTTGATTTTTCAAACTCACCCGTTTTTGTTGAACTTTGACTGTGTTTCTAAGAACTGAAACATGTTCGACGAAATGTTTAAGAGAGATATACAATTTTTTTTCCAACAGTCCTGAAGAATTTTGATTGGAAGTGTTTTATGCAAGACAAAATCATGTAACTGTGAAGGACTCTGAAGTACTAGTGAGCGAAAATGGGCTTTTGTGTAACATATCTTGATGAATATATCAATGGATTGGTGCATAGCACACCGCAAAAACGAGCAGCATGAGAAACAAAAAGTAAAGACCGAAAGTCAGTTACAAAAACCGAAAGTGACGGAGCCTTTTGTCTCAATTCTCAAACCGAAAGAAAAATCCTGAATATAAACTTAAAAGATTTTTTTTGTTGGGATTTCAAGTGCTTTGACTCTCGATGTATACATTATTTGGTATTATTTTTTTGTCAATTCCATCTGACTATGTAGACACTATTCCATGTTGTTTGTCTTCTTAGTTCTTCCCTTGCAAATTTATATCAATATATACAAACTGTTGGAAACTGCAGGAAATTGCAGGTTTGCTTCATTTATATTTTATTCTCTCAGTTTTGGTTCTTATTCAAAGACAAAACAAAGAAACCTGTGAAAGTGAGAATGAAATGAAGTAGATAGAGAGATGAGATGTAAAAACACTCGAATATCTTAAATCTTACACAACACTCGTACTACATATTAATAGAAAACATATAAGTAATCTCTGTTTCTCTACTCCTTACTTACATCAGGCTCTCAAGCCCCAAAATATGTGACAGGATTCTCCTGCATTTCTAACCTTCGGCTTTTTATTCACATTTAGAGTCGGTTTATGTTTTAATGATCCGGTTTGCATACCGGTTAAGGTCAATTGTTTAGACCGTTGCATCAATAATCATACGTTATGTACTATGTACGGGATTCATTTTTACATTATTAATCAGAATATTTTCCTTCATCTTATCCTCTTATCGCTCTCGTTCACCATCGTCATCGTCCCCACGGATCTCAGTACTTTGAAGTGGTCCTTCTTCCCTTTTGATCCACCTTTCAGTCTTTGATTCCATCGTATTTGAGATCCATGGAGGGTTTCTAGTACGATCGTATACTCATCTCATTTACTCTGTCTCATTGGTATCAGAGCTTTCTACGACCCTAGGGAGCTCAACGATGGTGGAAACACGGTTACAGGAGAAACGCGCACTCGCAGACATCGTCGAGGAGCTGCGTATTCGCCAGGAGCAACACTCGGATGAACTCAAGGGCCACGTGGAATCACTCGACGCTCGCTTCTCAAAGCTCGAGTCTTTCCTCTTCATACACCTTCCCCACAGTTCCGCTCAGCAGCAACAACCTCAGGAACCAAGCCCGACCCCGTCCGCTATGCAGCTTTCGCCGAGCTCCAGTCGACCACCAGATCCACCCGATCGACCTGGTTCTGATCAGATCCGCGCTGAGCGTAGTTCCGCCGATGTTTCTCGCCAGTACCCACTTACGAACAGTTTGTCATCGCGCCTCACGAAGGTTGGATTTCCTATGTTCAATGGATCTAAGCTACGTGAGTGGATCTATCGCTGTGACCAGTTTTTTTCGGCTTAGATCACACCCCTATAGAGCAACGAGTTCCCCTAGCTTCGATGCATCTCGAAGACGAGGCCCTCGAATGGCATCACAACTTCATCGCAGAGCGGTATGGGATCTTACCCTCCTGGTCTGATTATGTGGTGGACATTTCTGCTCGATTCAGCGGCATCGTTAACGACCCCCTCTCGGAGCTCGTTTCTTTGAAACAAGGCAGTGATTCTATCGACGTGTACCTGAAGAAGTTTGAGAGTGCCCGGACCCGTGTCACCCTCACAGCGGCCCATGCTCTGAGCATATTTTTCACGAATATGCAACCCCATCTATCGCTACACGTTCGACAGTTCGCGGTTACGTCTATCTCGGAGGCTGCAAGAATCGCAAAACTTCATGAAGCTGCTCTTGCTCAGACCCCTCAGCGAGCCCTCCGAGCTCCCTTCAATCCACTAGCGACTCCGAAGTATTCTGGCAGCCCCCTTTCTAAGGGACCGAGCTCTTCTCCGTTGCTTCTCCTACCTGATACTTCGAAGTTGTCCAGGCCGAACTTCATCCCTCGTTCTAATGGGGATAAGTTACCTCGTAAGTTCAGTTATCAAGAGATGCAAGAACGGCGTGCTAAGGGCCTGTGTATGTTCTGTGACGAGGCTTTTACACCTGGGCATCAACTCAAGCATAAACGCTCTCAAATTTACGTCCTCGAGTGTGCTGATGATGATGATGACGAGGAACCACCTCCAACGGTGGAAGTGATGGAAGCTACAGAGACTCCTATCCAGGACTTTCCTGATGCTATCCCCACCATCTCTCTCAATGCTCTCAGCGATTTTTCTACATTCAATTGTATGCGAGTGATAGGGAGTTATGGCAAGCGGAAGCTACATATCTTGATTGATGGAGGCAGTACTCATAACTTCATGGATATACAGGTCGCCAAAGAACTCGGTTGTCGCCTGGAAGTAATGCGTCCCATGTCTGTAGCAGCCGCGAGTGGAGACTTGGTGACTCACTACAGGTGCCCGAATTTTTCTTGGAAGGTACAAGGCCATTCCTACACCTCTGAGATTCGGACACTTCCTCTCCAAGGCTGTGAACTTTCTCACTGAGGGTCCCTATCGTTTCTTTTTCCAATTCCTTTCCCGATGTATCTGGGGTAGAGGCTGTTGATGTGTTTTTGTTGGTTTTTGGTGCTTGGCGTTCAATGGCTCGCTCCTCTGGGACCCATTCTATGGGATTTTCACAACTTACGCATGAAATTCAACTACTTAGGCGAGAAACATGTTTTGCGTGGGGTCACCAAACTAAACTGCAAGCTCATCAAGGACAATAGTCTCAACAAACTATTGCTTCAACAGCCGCAGATCGCTCTGCTGCAGATCAGAGAGATTGGTGACTATGATGCCGAATCGTCTCATCTAGTTCACGCATCCCTGGTTTCTCATGTAGCAACAACGGGTGATGACTTAGCGAATGACCCTGCTATGTCTTCACTACTGGGGTCTTTTGCTGATCTGTTTGAGACACCAGAGGGGTTGCCTCCCTTTCGCGAGGGGTTCGATCACAAAATACCGTTGGAAGCGGGTTCAAATCCAGTTAACTTTCGCCCTTACCGCTACTCTACACTACAGAAGGACGCGGTTGACAAGATGGTTCAGGAGATGCTCGATCAGGGGATTATTCAATGCAGCTCCAGCCCGTATACTTCTCCCATCGTGCTAGTGAGGAAAAAGGATGGCACGTGGAGGCTCTGTGTGGACTATCGCGGCCTCAACAAGCAGACTATCAAGGACAAGTACTCGATCCCCTTACTCGAGGATTTGTTGGATGAGTTAGGGGGTGCTAAATACTTTTCCAAGTTGGATTTGCGTGCAGGGTTTCATCAGTTACGTATGTTACCCGAGGACGTGTATAAAACAGCCTTCAAAACTCACTCTGGGCACTTCGAGTATCTCGTAATGCCTTTCGGGCTATCCAATGCGCCGTGTACGTTTCAGAGTTTGATGAATCATGTGTTCCAAGAGGTAGCAAGGAAGTCGGTCCTAGTATTCTTTGACGACATCCTCGTCTACAGTCCAAGCTGAAAATGTCACCTTTCACACCTACACGAGGGTGTTTACTATTCTGCGCCACCAACAGCTCTATCTTAAGTCCTCGAAGTGTACATTTGGAGCTATGGTTGTAGAATATTTGGGTCATTTTATCTCTGCTGCAGGGGTGAGTACTTGCCCAAAGAAGATACTGGCGGTTTCCCAATGGCCTATTCCTACTAATCAGAAACAGCTGCGCAGCTTTCTCGGTCTTGCCAACTACTATCGGCGATTCATCCAAGGTTATAGCATCATTGCCCGCCCTCTTACAATGCTCTTGCAGAAAGACGGGTTCACGTGGAGTTCTGACGCGGCAACAGCGTTTGATAACCTCAAGCAGGCACTCACGTCTGCACCTGTTCTAGCTCTATCCGATTTCGACAAGACTTTCGTAGTTGAGACAGACGCTTCTAACACGGGCATCGGTGCAGTCCTAATGCAAGATAATCACCCGATCTGTGTTTCATCAGTCGAGCATTGGGCCCTCGCCACCAATCCCTTTCGGTGTACGAGAAAGAGTTAATGGCAGTCGTCCATGCTGTACAAACTTGGAGCGCATACTTATCCCACCGACCTTTCATTATTAAAACAGATCAGAAGAGCCTTAAATTCATGGTGGAAACAGAAAGCTTCTACACCATTTCAGTTTATGTGGCTTTCCAAATTGATGGGATACAATTTTGAAATCCACTACAAGCAAGGGAAGGAGAATGTTGCCGCCGATGCTCTGTCGCGCGTCACTGGTTCACAGCTCCTTCAGCTCACCTTTTCTCAGGCGCATCAGGTTTTTTACGACTCTCTCAAGCTCCTTTGGCAAACTGATCCGCTTCTCTCTAAGGTAGTCTCTGAGCTTCAATCAGATCCTTCCTCTCACCCTTCGTACACTTTTGTGAATGGCGAACTCAGGAGGAAGGGCAAGCTCGTGGTTGGTAATGATGCAACAGTTAAGGCTCACATCCTCAGTTGGTTGCATGATTCAGCTGTGGGGGGTCACTCGGGCAGAGACAAGACAATTCACCGCATCAAATCCCTCTTCTACTGGCCTAAAATGAACCTAGAGGTGCAGGCTTATGTCCGTAACTGCGCTGTCTGCCAGAAGAACAAGTATGAGTATGTTGCTAAACCGGGATTGCTTCAACCTCTCCCTATCCCTTCTGGTGTTTGTGAATCAGTCAGCTTGGATTTTATTGAGGGACTCCCACCTTCTGCTGGCAAACACTGCATACTGGTCGTTGTTGACAGGTTAAGCAAGAATGCCCACTTTCTCCCCTTGTCACACCCTTACACCGCTGATGAGGTCGCTCAAGTTTATCTGGATCAAGTGTTCAAGCTCCATGGAATGCCAAAGGACATTGTAAGTGATCGGGATCCGACATTTTTGAATGAGATTTGGCAGGAAATGTTTCGGGTACACAGCGTGGAGCTAAAACACTCTACTGCCTACCATCCCCAAACTGATGGGCAGACAGAGATCACCAACAAAACTCTCGAGACTTACATGCGTTATATGACTGCTGAAGCTCCGCATACGTGGAGTAAGTGGCTGCCCCTAGCCGAAGGTGGTACAACACAACGTACCATTCTGCCATACGCAGCACTCCCTTCGAAGTTGTTTATGGGCAACCTCCGCCACTGCATCTCCCTTACTTACCGGGTGAGAGTTCATCCAGTGTTGTTGACCGTAGCCTCCAGAAGCGAGAAGAGGTGATCAACATGCTGAAATTTCATATGCTGCATGCGCAGAACAGAATGAAACAGGCAGCTGACTCTCATCGTTCGCCGCGTGTCTTCTCTTTGGGTGATTATGTGTACCTGAAACTGCAGCCATACCGTCAGCATTCACTTAAACCACGGAAGACTCCGCATAAGCTCTCCCCTCGCTTCTATGGTCCATTTCGTGTTATCGGTGGGAGCTGCAGCATACAAGTTGGACCTACCCGCGGGTGCTGCAGTTCACAATGTCTTCCACGTCAGTCAGCTAAAGCTTTGCCCTAATCCTCCGACTGCATCTGCTCCTGCATTACCGCAATACTGGCTGGATATAGGTAACTCTAAAGAACCTGAGTCTGTGTTGGATAAGAAGGTCGTTAAGCGCAAGAACACAGCAGCCACCAAAGTCTTGGTCCAATGGAAAGGGGAATCTCCTGAGCAGGCTATCTGGGAGTTCTATCAGGATCTCATGGCTAAGTATCCTCATTTTCATCTTTTAGGGCAAAGATGATGTCGAGCAGGGAGTATTGTGACAGGATTCTCCTGCATTTCTATCCTTCGGCTTTTTATTCACATTTAGAGTCGGTTTTATGTTTTAATGATCCGGTTTGCATACCGGTTAAGGTCAATTGTTTAGACCGTTGCATCAATAATCATACATTATGTACTATGTACGGGATTCATTTTTATATTATTAATCAGAATATTATCCTTCATCTTATCCTCTTATCTCTCTCGTTCACCATCGTCATCGTCCCCACGGATCTCAGTACTTTGAAGTGGTCCTTCTTCCCTTTTGATCCACCTTTCAGTCTTTGATTCCATCGTATTTGAGATCCCTTATGGGCTTCGGCCCATGAGAATTTCTGGAAGGGATCTCTTCGGGGGTAAAGCCTTACAAGTTTCTAGTTCAATTTTTTTGGCATTAGCTTAATGTGTGACATGTGTTAGACGTTAGTTGCATGCCTGGTTTGTTTGCAATTTTTTTTTATATAAGATTTACCCAGATGCTTTTGAAAAACCAAACCGGAAGGTAAATTGGGTGGTTTGTTTTTTCGTGAAAATAAAATCAATGGTCTTAACAATGTTTACTTGTACATCTGATGGAAACTCGGTAAAAAAAAAATATAATCCCTAAATTATGGCAAACGTACGCATATGTTTTTCTCGATGACTCTCAATTTTATTGTAGACCCGCAAGCAAGTTAGGAGAATATACAAGAGAAAGCCAAAAACCAGTTTAATTTCCAACTGCAAGACGAAACGAAAGACCAACGAAATTGTTTAGAGGAGTTTAAAAACACTTTGTTGTCACGAGTTTGACAATAAGTGTATCGTGGAGTTGTTTAAGGTTAGCCATGTTTGTCTATTGTGTCGGTTCGAGTTACCACGTGGAGATGATGATTTTTCTCAAACAACCACAGATTCTAACTGATATACTAACCGCTTTACTTGAATCTTAAAAGCGATAAATACTTGCGTGCAGTAGAGTGGTTCACTGGTTTGTACTAGTGTTGTCCTTTTTCATTACCCATATTCAGGGGTGGACGCATAAAAAATTATTTATATGGAACACAAAAAAATATTATAATAAAAAATTATAATTGTAAAAACAAATTTGAAAAATAATATCTTATAATAAATTTCAAACTTTCAGTTTTAAAAAAAATATATACTGATAAACAAAACTATTTTCATTGATTTTCAGATATTTTCACATATAAAAATATACTCTTTTAAAAAAAGTAAATAAATAATAATAAAATGGCTTTTACACAAAATTAGATTATAAACTACTTGATAAATATCTAATAAAATTTAGTGTCTTTAGTTATTTATTTTTAAGTATATAACTGTAAAAAAATTAATAAAAAAAAACTAGTTTTATTAAAGTTTAAAGAAAGAGACATAACAATATGTATATTAAAAATATAAAAGAAATGAAAAAATATAAAATATAATAAAAAAAGAATAAAAGAAATTAGAAAAAGATATGAGAATAGTTTTACATGATAATTAAATAAATAAAGAAAACATGAAAAAAATAACAAAATGGTATCAGGTAGATTTGAACTCTTTTCTTAAAAAACTTCAAATGTTTATCATTCAAAAACCAACTAATCTAACATATAAAAATGTAGTAGTTGCTTATTAGAAAATCTATGCAATTAGTATGGGGCACATGCCCCACCCCATCACCATGTAGATCCGCCCCTGCCCATATTCAAATCCTAGAGAGGATGAATTAGCCTGATAACCAAAAATGACAAGAAATCTTAATATAGCTATATATATGATATTTTATTTCGCAAGTAACAATCACAACCTTATATGGACAAAAATGATCCTCCATTTTGCTTCATAGATATAGAAACGTTTATATATAACTAGTAGAGTATTGCATATATATTATATTCAAGATTATAACATCTATCATTGAGAATAAGAGGAATGGAGAGGACCAAGTTTGAAGGGGTAAAAGACAAGCGATTAAGGCAAACAAAAGAATACATTTTCAGATTTTTCTCTACCTGTAAGTTCTAGTGTAGATTCTGTTTATATTCGTTTTCTTAGAAACTGGGTAGTATTATGAGTTGTCTCCGATTAGGTAACTAGGTTTTAGAACTACGAAGAACAATATATTGAGATATAGGTTTTAGAACGTCGATATGCATTTTTTGTAAGCTAACTCTGTCAATTTACCACTGATGTAAAGTGATTTAGAGCTGTCGTTCTTTAAGGATTACTAGAAGAAGCATCACATTTTAATAATCTTCTAAGGAGGACAAAGAGTGAATCACAATCTGATGTTTTTCACAATTGTAGAATAAACTGTAAAAGTTTTTAATGCAGTATAAATTTCAGGAAACGAATAGCTTCTTCTTACATTTTATTTCTTGTTGCCTTGGTGATGAAGCTTTGTCTATAGGCAAGCACCTGGTTTTTTTTCTTTTTTATGGAATGAGAGGGCTTCTCGATTCAACCAAAATCAAAACCACCGGTTCATTAGAGAACCATTCGGTTTAGACTGGATGGAACATCCGATTAGATATCATGGGAAACAATAAATTATAATGGGGCCTCATGGCTAAGCCCATAACTGCCTTAATCAACTCATAAACGCATTTTTTACTGATTCTACATCCCACATCGGTTACATTACTCACGAACAATGAAGAAACTTGACTATAGATAAGACGCAGATCAGTAAATATCAATTCACGGAGCCGTGCAGTGAAGGCAAAGCGAACTATTCTTTCGCCTTTTACTAAAGAATACCGTGTCTTCTCTGCTCTTTAAGCGGCATACGCCTATTTTTGGAAAGGGTTTTTTAAGTTAAACCCTCCATCAATTTCGTTAGTTTAAAAAATTTACAATATAGTTTGACATGTTGAAATTTTTTTTTAACAGTATGCGTTATCTCACGCCATTGATTCTTAAGCAGGATAATCTGAGGTACATGGGGCTTATACTAATCCCATCAGAGGTAGACGTTCTAAACCACCTTTTTCGTCTTGTGTTAGCAAGAGTCCTGATATTTTATTGTTAGTGTTCCTTAAAATGTCTTCAAGCACGGATGATTATATGGATGATAGAGTTTCGCAGAAGATATTGAAGATTAGCATCCATCATTGAGAACAAGAGGAAATGAGACGACCAGGTTTTAAAGAGACAAAAGAGAGAAGTGATTAAGGCAAACAAAAGGATACATTTCTCTACTTTTGGGTGATTAAGTTCTACTGTAAAATCCGTTAATATTTAACTTTCAGAATGTCGATGCATTTTTGTAAACTAACTATGTCGCACATTGATAAAAAAAAAGTTACAAAAGAGAAGGCAATGCACCACTGATTTAGAGCTGTCGTTGTTTAAATATTACTAGAAGCATCACTTTGTAATAATCTTATAAGGAGGACAAGAGGTAAATCACAATCTGATGTTTGCACAATTGTATAATAAACTGTAAAAGTTGTCGAGGCAGTATAAATTTCAGGAAACGGATTAGTTGCGTGAATGGCGATGAAGCTACGTCCACTAGCATTAATAAAAACATATGCTTATGGACTGAGGAGTATCTTCAAGTTATCAAACTACTCTATATATATGGTATAATTAGGTTATTGCCTTGCGAAAGTTGGGAGGCTGGATATTATGTTTGTATATTTATTAGGATCAAAGCTCTGTTACTTAAATGTTAAAACCAAAATTAGACAAGTGTTACTGAAATTATGATTTTTTTAAGAATGGCTTAAAAACAGATAAAAGTTGTAGAAACTTAAAATTAAATTATAAGTGTAGATGGTAAAAACCTAGAGCAATCAACAATACATGGAATCTCTTGAATATTGGAAGTAGAATCTATAATGCCCTTAATTTTAAGCTTCTTGAATATATGGTTCAACATATAGTTACTTCACTTTTGTGTGGGAGGGATTGCGATGCGAGAACATCCATCTTTAAGAAGAGGAGGGAAGAACGGATTTAGCGGAAACATGTGTGGCCAACATTTGGCATCAATTGCCGAAAACGCCTTGCAACACGTTGCTCCAATATTACCAAACTTTCCTGAGAAAACTGATTTGTGAATTTCAGCTACACAACCTTGAATGCTAACGAGTGATGACAAACATTTTGTGAGATCGACGGGTGAGCCAGTCACGATAGAGAGTTGAGGTGTTGTGTGTGATGATGGTGCATCTGTGCTGATGCGAGAGCAGCTGTTCTTGAGAAGAGGAGGGAATAGTGGATTCAACGGAAACATTTTTGGCCAACACTTTGCATCCACATCTTTAAACGCTTTGCAGCAAGTGGGTGTAACGTTTTCAAACTTACCCGTTAAAACTGATTTATAGATTTCGATTACACAACCTTGAACACCGGAAAGTGATGACCAACACTTTGTGATATCGATTGGGGAGCCAGGAATGGTCTGGACCTCGGCTAGCCCCGGCCTCATTAGAGTAGTGGCACATAGAGTCACGATTAGAATCGTGGATAAGAGAGTTTCGATCCTACCTTCCATTACACCTATTGTTTACTCTTTTTTTTTTTTCTTTTTCTTTTTGATATTTGAGTTGATAGAGTGAATTGCTTGATTGGGATAATATTGGTACCAAAAGAAACTAACAATTTATAGAGTAGCTCAGGTTTGAACGAAATCGGTAAATTCATTAGGAGAGTTACACTTTAAGCGTTGTCCGTTTTTGACAATCTTTGAATTAAAACATGGAAGTGTTACATTTTACCAACCGACTCATTCAAGTTGTATATAAGTTTTTTACCGATGAATTATGTTGACTATTTGCTTTGTAATAAATAAGTTCTAATCATAAACTAAACTCTGAAAACATTTTGTATCTTTTTTTATAAATGTTACAATTTCTATCTGTAACATTTTGTATCTTACTTATAACAGAAACTTCATATAGTGATACCTTTTAGATCCTATTTTATATTTCAAATTGAAGAAATCTTTATTTTTAAATATAAACTCCAGGGGGAAAAGAAAATCTTAAAATGTTAATCCGTCAATTTTTCAGTTCTGTTTTTGTTTTCTCGTAGACTGAATTAACTAAAAACATATATGTTTACCTAATACTAAAATAGGTGGTGTGTGTTTCCACTGCGTAAACACTATAGGAGAATTGTGTTCTATTAGTGACGAAGAATTAAACTAGAACTTATTCAAAGTGGTGTAGGCTTTTACGATGTCTCTCTCCTTCATTATCAGCCAAGTCATAGGTTAAACAAAAAACGGCCTTTATGATCCACAAAGCCCAGCAGAGATCAAATGCTTGAGATCCCACATCGGTAACATTAGTCAGAGACATTGAATCAAATGGACTATAGATAAGACGCGGAGCTCGACCGGTATGATTCACGGAGCCGTGCAGTGAGAACAAAGCGAACTATTCTTTCGCCTTTTACTAAAGAATACCGTGTTTTCTCTGCTTTTAAAGCGGCATACGCCTATTTTTGGAAGGTTTTTATTAATTAAAAACCCCATCAGTTCTTTAGTGTAAGCGTTTAATCAAATATTAATACTGAGCCATCCTTGTCTTAGTACTAGTCCTGGTTTTAATGAATGTATTTAGAGACTGAGAATCATTGTTAGTGTTGACAAAAATGTCTTCAAGCATGTACAAGCTCGACACCATTATCAGCTTGTGTTAGTACTAGTCCTTATTTTAGTGGATTTGTTTAGATTTTAGAGAATGAGAATCATTGTTAGTGTTGATGAAAATGTCTTCAAGCACCGATGAGTATGATTGGTAGAGTATTGCAGAAGATATTGAAGACGACCAAGTTTTGGAAGAGCAAAAAGAGAAGCGATTAAGGCAAACAAAATAATACATTTATCCACCTTTTGGGTAGCTTCTAGTGTAAAGTCTGTTTATACTCAGTTTCTATACAATCAGAGATGTCTCCGAAGAACAATAAAGTGAGAAATATGTTTCAGAATGTCGATATGCATTTTTTATAGGTTTTATAGCTTAAGAACACTTTGTTTATAAGAATAACTCTCTTATTATGTTTAGAAAATATCTCAAAACTAAACACCAAAAGTTCTTGTCTTGTTGATGACACAACTCGCCATTAACATCTATATATAGTCTAGCACAACTTTGCTATTCCTACTCCCAATAGAACTAGCTAACTCCTAATTCTCTTAGGATTACATGAAGTCTATCTTATCCTAAACTTATAAGGTAAAAGTTTCTTAAACTCCAAGCTTAATGTTGATGCTTATCCAACATTTTTGTAAACTAACTCTGTAGATTTACCACTGATTTAAAGTGATTTAGAGATGTCGTTCTTTAAAGATTACTAGAAGAAGCATCAGTTTATAATAATCTTCAAAGGAGGACAAAGAGTGAATGACAATGTGATGTTTTGCACAATTGTAAAATACAATGTGAAAGTTGTTGATGCAGTACAAAACTCAGGAAACGGTTTGCCTTGGTGATGAAGCTATATATATATCTATTGACAATATTAAATTAAATGTTAATAGACTAATGTTAATAGAATAAGGAGAGTATCTTCGACTTCAAGGTTATTCAGATCACTCTCTATATAAGGTATAATTAGGTTTATTACCTTAGAGTTCGGAGGCTGAATATAACCTCTCGTTACAAACGAAAACCTTAGGAGATAATCACGAAAAAGTTTTACTGTTTTAGTTAAATCATTCCATGAATGCTTTTCGCAAGTTAAGCTAAGTCTTTTGATCCCACATCGGAAGAAGTAGTCAAGTTGGTCGGTGCTGTTTCACATATATAATAAAAAGACTTTCTTGACCTAAAACTCATCTTTGCGCTTGGGGCAATGACTTCGGCTAATGAGGTTCTAACCGAGGCACAGCCATTGCTGGTTGAAAACTAATTCCAAACCCCCTCTTGAGCCTAAGCTTGTCTTGGGCTACTTGAGAATTTCTGGAAGGGGCTCTCTTTGGGGTAAAGCCCTACAATGTTCAGTAAAATATATATGGCATGGAGGGAGTTTTTATAGAAAGTACAAAAATAGCAAAACAGAAAGAAAAAGAATGGTGAGTTTTAGATCGAATGGGTCGTCAAGCATGAGCATTGTGATGTATCCGTGGTTAGCCTTTGGTCACATGACTCTTCTTCTTCACTTCTCCATCAAGCTCGCAGAGAAAGGTCACACGATCGTTTTCTTGCTTCCCAAGATTACTCATAGTCATAGCTCTAGATTTTGTTTAGCAAAAGGATGAAGGCGCCAGTCACTGATAAGAAAGTAAGAACTCAAAGTTGAAAGTGGTAATATATTTTTGAAAAGGGGAGAATTACGGACTATGGTCTCGATTCGAATTTCATGTCGTAGAAGAATCCTTGCATGGTTGTCGAAGAAGAAGACCATTCTAGCGTGTTGCGTATAGATATGACAACTTTCATTAAAACTTGGATCAAATATTCGATTAAAAACACGAAAACAGAAACTGCAGACTAGAAAAATCGCACAAAAGAAAGCGACTCGCACGTCTCAGCTAGTGTGAGCCGTAAATCAAAACCACCGGTTCACTAGAGAAACCATTCGGTTTAGACTGGACGGAACCTCCGATCATGAGTATAATATTAAAACAATAAATTATGATGGGCCTCATGGGTAGGCCCATATTTGACTTAAAGCAACTCATAAACGCCACCTGATTTTACATCCCACATCCGTTTTACAGTACTCACAAACAATGAAGAAACTGAACTATAAATATGACGCAGAGCTTTATCTTTCAATTCACGGAGCCGTGCAGTGAAGACAAAGCGAATTATTCTTTCGCCTTTTACTAAAGAATACGTGTCTTTTCTGCTCTTAAAGCAGCATACGCCTTGTTAGGATTTAGTGGCTCAAAAGGTGTCTCCTTTAAGAGCATAAACCACATTCAGACCAAGATATGAAGTAGCTTGAAGAATTAAAGCAGAGGCCAAAACAGAGAAGTTGCAGGAAAAAAACAGAGTATGAGAGAAAGGAGAGAAGAAGGGAAGAAGAAGGAAGGAGCACACACAAGATTTAAGGAGTTCACGCCTATTAACGAGGGTCGCTACATCTCCCCGAGCTTTGCTCGGAATCCACTAGCTTCTTTGAGAGATTACAAATACAGAGATAAAACAAGTGACCCGATCTAAAGCCCTTCACTAGCTACTTAGAACTCACTCTGTTCTATAGAAAACAAAGACAAAGCTTAAACTAAATTGTTTTCTCTCTACTCTCACTTTCGGCTACATTGTGTATCCTCTCCTTTCCCTTAGCTCTCTCTCTCCAACATGATACCCTTTTATACTCAAAGCACCTTAGGGTTTCTTGTGCAAAGACAAACCGCAACTAACACATTTCAAACGCCAAAATGTCTCATTGAGGTGCGATTACTTCCGCCAAACGTGACTTTCCCATTTTGAGCACAAGCAAACAAAATGTCCTTGACGAGGAGATAAGGTTGCAGCTTGATCAACTTCTACAAGCCGTTACCAACGCCAAACGTGGTCTTAAAAGCAACTCAACCATGATTAAATAAATAACCATCTTGGTTAGACTTCTTGTGATCCCAAGCTTGTTCAAAATGAATCTACTTGTTCATCAAGTTATCACAATCTTTGAGAATAAAAGGAAATGAGACGACCAGATTTTAAAGGGACAAAAGAGAAGTGATTAAGGCAAACCATCTTCTTCTCTCTTGCTACTACAACGTGACAGAGCAAATATCATGGGCTTTAATATAATTGGGCCTTCGCCAATAAACAGATACAATACAGTGTATGTGCTTTCCTAAGTTTCCTTTACAATGCGTAATATCCCACACCGCTCAACTGGAAAATAATGTTGTTGTATATATAGCTGAGAGATAGCGATGATGGTCACGACCTTACTTGAACAGGATCTGTTCTATAGGCTCGTACCTCTGAATCCTTGGTCTCGAAGGAGACAGGCCCTAAGCCCTGGTTGATGATTCATCACTGTGCGACCGGAGCGTGATTAACGGCTATGATGATCTCCGGATGCATCTGGTGGTGTAGAGGATCGTTACTCGGCTCGGTTTAATCCTAGCCGGGGTGGTCGCACAGCGGTCTGACAGGTTACCTTTTTTATTATTACTCGTCCGTTTTGAATTTGATTTTTCAAACTCACCCGTTTTTGTTGAACTTTGACTGTGTTTCTAAGAACTGAAACATGTTCGACGAAATGTTTTAAGAGAGATATACAATTTTTTTTCCAACAGTCCTGAAGAATTTTGATTGGAAGTGTTTTATGCAAGACAAAATCATGTAACTGTGAAGGACTCTGAAGTACTAGTGAGCGAAAATGGGCTTTTGTGTAACATATCTTGATGAATATATCAATGGATTGGTGCATAGCACACCGCAAAAACGAGCAGCATGAGAAACAAAAAGTAAAGACCGAAAGTCAGTTACAAAACCGAAAGTGACGGAGCCTTTTGTCTCAATTCTCAAACCGAAAGAAAAATCCTGAATATAAACTTAAAAGATTTTTTTTTGTTGGGATTTCAAGTGCTTTGACTCTCGATGTATACATTATTTGGTATTATTTTTTTGTCAATTCCATCTGACTATGTAGACACTATTCCATGTTGTTTGTCTTCTTAGTTCTTCCCTTGCAAATTTATATCAATATATACAAACTGTTGGAAACTGCAGGAAATTGCAGGTTTGCTTCATTTTATATTTTATTCTCTCAGTTTTGGTTCTTATTCAAAGACAAAACAAAGAAAACCTGTGAAAGTGAGAATGAAATGAAGTAGATAGAGAGATGAGATGTAAAAACACTCGAATATCTTAAATCTTACACAACACTCGTACTACATATTAATAGAAAAACATATAAGTAATCTCTGTTTCTCCTACTCCTTACTTACATCAGGCTCTCAAGCCCCAAAATATGTGACAGGATTCTCCTGCATTTCTAACCTTCGGCTTTTTTATTCACATTTAGAGTCGGTTTATGTTTTAATGATCCGGGTTTGCATACCGGTTAAGGTCAATTGTTTAGACTGTTGCATCAATAATCATACGTTATGTACTATGTACGGGATTCATTTTTACATTATTAATCAGAATATTTTCCTTCATCTTATCCTCTTATCGCTCTCGTTCACCATCGTCATCGTCCCCACGGATCTCAGTACTTTGAAGTGGTCCTTCTTCCCTTTTGATCCACCTTTCAGTCTTTGATTCCATCGTATTTGAGATCCATGGAGGGTTTCTAGTACGATCGTTATACTCATCTCATTTACTCTGTCTCATTGGTATCAGAGCTTTCTACGACCCTAGGGAGCTCAACGATGGTGGAAACACGGTTACAGGAGAAACGCGCACACTCGCAGACATCGTCGAGGAGCTGCGTATTCGCCAGGAGCAACACTCGGATGAACTCAAGGGCCACGTGGAATCACTCGACGCTCGCTTCTCAAAGCTCGAGTCTTTCCTCTTCATACACCTTCCCCACAGTTCCGCTCAGCAGCAACAACCTCAGGAACCAAGCCCGACCCCGTCCGCTATGCAGCTTTCGCCGAGCTCCAGTCGACCACCAGATCCACCCGATCGACCTGGTTCTGATCAGATCCGCGCTGAGCGTAGTTCCGCCGATGTTTCTCGCCAGTACCCACTTACGAACAGTTTGTCATCGCGCCTCACGAAGGTTGGATTTCCTATGTTCAATGGATCTAAGCTACGTGAGTGGATCTATCGCTGTGACCAGTTTTTCGGCTTAGATCACACCCCTATAGAGCAACGAGTTCCCCTAGCTTCGATGCATCTCGAAGACGAGGCCCTCGAATGGCATCACAACTTCATCGCAGAGCGGTATGGGATCTTACCCTCCTGGTCTGATTATGTGGTGGACATTTCTGCTCGATTCAGCGGCATCGTTAACGACCCCCTCTCGGAGCTCGTTTCTTTGAAACAAGGCAGTGATTCTATCGACGTGTACCTGAAGAAGTTTGAGAGTGCCCGGACCCGTGTCACCCTCACAGCGGCCCATGCTCTGAGCATATTTTTCACGAATATGCAACCCCATCTATCGCTACACGTTCGACAGTTCGCGGTTACGTCTATCTCGGAGGCTGCAAGAATCGCAAAACTTCATGAAGCTGCTCTTGCTCAGACCCCTCAGCGAGCCCTCCGAGCTCCCTTCAATCCACTAGCGACTCCGAAGTATTCTGGCAGCCCCCTTTCTAAGGGACCGAGCTCTTCTCCGTTGCTTCTCCTACCTGATACTTCGAAGTTGTCCAGGCCGAACTTCATCCCTCGTTCTAATGGGGATAAGTTACCTCGTAAGTTCAGTTATCAAGAGATGCAAGAACGGCGTGCTAAGGGCCTGTGTATGTTCTGTGACGAGGGCTTTTACACCTGGGCATCAACTCAAGCATAAACGCTCTCAAATTTACGTCCTCGAGTGTGCTGATGATGATGATGACGAGGAACCACCTCCAACGGTGGAAGTGATGGAAGCTACAGAGACTCCTATCCAGGACTTTCCTGATGCTATCCCCACCATCTCTCTCAATGCTCTCAGCGATTTTTCTACATTCAATTGTATGCGAGTGATAGGGAGTTATGGCAAGCGGAAGCTACATATCTTGATTGATGGAGGCAGTACTCATAACTTCATGGATATACAGGTCGCCAAAGAACTCGGTTGTCGCCTGGAAGTAATGCGTCCCATGTCTGTAGCAGCCGCGAGTGGAGACTTGGTGACTCACTACAGGTGCCCGAATTTTTCTTGGAAGGTACAAGACCATTCCTACACCTCTGAGATTCGGACACTTCCTCTCCAAGGCTGTGAACTTTCTCACTGAGGGTCCCTATCGTTTCTTTTTCCAATTCCTTTCCCGATGTATCTGGGGTAGAGGCTGTTGATGTGTTTTTGTTGGTTTTTGGTGCTTGGCGTTCAATGGCTCGCTCCTCTGGGACCCATTCTATGGGATTTTCACAACTTACGCATGAAATTCAACTACTTAGGCGAGAAACATGTTTTGCGTGGGGTCACCAAACTAAACTGCAAGCTCATCAAGGACAATAGTCTCAACAAACTATTGCTTCAACAGCCGCAGATCGCTCTGCTGCAGATCAGAGAGATTGGTGACTATGATGCCGAATCGTCTCATCTAGTTCACGCATCCCTGGTTTCTCATGTAGCAACAACGGGTGATGACTTAGCGAATGACCCTGCTATGTCTTCACTACTGGGGTCTTTTGCTGATCTGTTTGAGACACCAGAGGGGTTGCCTCCCTTTCGCGAGGGGTTCGATCACAAAATACCGTTGGAAGCGGGTTCAAATCCAGTTAACTTTCGCCCTTACCGCTACTCTACACTACAGAAGGACGCGGTTGACAAGATGGTTCAGGAGATGCTCGATCAGGGGATTATTCAATGCAGCTCCAGCCCGTATACTTCTCCCATCGTGCTAGTGAGGAAAAAGGATGGCACGTGGAGGCTCTGTGTGGACTATCGCGGCCTCAACAAGCAGACTATCAAGGACAAGTACTCGATCCCCTTACTCGAGGATTTGTTGGATGAGTTAGGGGGTGCTAAATACTTTTCCAAGTTGGATTTGCGTGCAGGGTTTCATCAGTTACGTATGTTACCCGAGGACGTGTATAAAACAGCCTTCAAAACTCACTCTGGGCACTTCGAGTATCTCGTAATGCCTTTCGGGCTATCCAATGCGCCGTGTACGTTTCAGAGTTTGATGAATCATGTGTTCCAAGAGGTAGCAAGGAAGTCGGTCCTAGTATTCTTTTGACGACATCCTCGTCTACAGTCCAAGCTGAAAATGTCACCTTTCACACCTACACGAGGTGTTTACTATTCTGCGCCACCAACAGCTCTATCTTAAGTCCTCGAAGTGTACATTTGGAGCTATGGTTGTAGAATATTTGGGTCATTTTATCTCTGCTGCAGGGGTGAGTACTTGCCCAAAGAAGATACTGGCGGTTTCCCAATGGCCTATTCCTACTAATCAGAAACAGCTGCGCAGCTTTCTCGGTCTTGCCAACTACTATCGGCGATTCATCCAAGGTTATAGCATCATTGCCCGCCCTCTCTTACAATGCTCTTGCAGAAAGACGGGTTCACGTGGAGTTCTGACGCGGCAACAGCGTTTGATAACCTCAAGCAGGCACTCACGTCTGCACCTGTTCTAGCTCTATCCGATTTCGACAAGACTTTCGTAGTTGAGACAGACGCTTCTAACACGGGCATCGGTGCAGTCCTAATGCAAGATAATCACCCGATCTGTTTCATCAGTCGAGCATTGGGCCCTCGCCACCAATCCCTTTCGGTGTACGAGAAAGAGTTAATGGCAGTCGTCCATGCTGTACAAACTTGGAGCGCATACTTATCCCACCGACCTTTCATTATTAAAACAGATCAGAAGAGCCTTAAATTCATGGTGGAACAGAAAGCTTCTACACCATTTCAGTTTATGTGGCTTTCCAAATTGATGGGATACAATTTTGAAATCCACTACAAGCAAGGGAAGGAGAATGTTGCCGCCGATGCTCTGTCGCGCGTCACTGGTTCACAGCTCCTTCAGCTCACCTTTTCTCAGGCGCATCAGGGTTTTTACGACTCTCTCAAGCTCCTTTGGCAAACTGATCCGCTTCTCTCTAAGGTAGTCTCTGAGCTTCAATCAGATCCTTCCTCTCACCCTTCGTACACTTTTGTGAATGGCGAACTCAGGAGGAAGGGCAAGCTCGTGGTTGGTAATGATGCAACAGTTAAGGCTCACATCCTCAGTTGGTTGCATGATTCAGCTGTGGGGGTCACTCGGGCAGAGACAAGACAATTCACCGCATCAAATCCCTCTTCTACTGGCCTAAAATGAACCTAGAGGTGCAGGTTTATGTCCGTAACTGCGCTGTCTGCCAGAAGAACAAGTATGAGTATGTTGCTAAACCGGGATTGCTTCAACCTCTCCCTATCCCTTCTGGTGTTTGTGAATCAGTCAGCTTGGATTTTATTGAGGGACTCCCACCTTCTGCTGGCAAACACTGCATACTGGTCGTTGTTGACAGGTTAAGCAAGAATGCCCACTTTCTCCCCTTGTCACACCCTTACACCGCTGATGAGGTCGCTCAAGTTTATCTGGATCAAGTGTTCAAGCTCCATGGAATGCCAAAGGACATTGTAAGTGATCGGGATCCGACATTTTTGAATGAGATTTGGCAGGAAATGTTTCGGGTACACAGCGTGGAGCTAAAACACTCTACTGCCTACCATCCCCAAACTGATGGGCAGACAGAGATCACCAACAAAACTCTCGAGACTTACATGCGTTATATGACTGCTGAAGCTCCGCATACGTGGAGTAAGTGGCTGCCCCTAGCCGAATGGTGGTACAACACAACGTACCATTCTGCCATACGCAGCACTCCCTTCGAAGTTGTTTATGGGCAACCTCCGCCACTGCATCTCCCTTACTTACCGGGTGAGAGTTCATCCAGTGTTGTTGACCGTAGCCTCCAGAAGCGAGAAGAGGTGATCAACATGCTGAAATTTCATATGCTGCATGCGCAGAACAGAATGAAACAGGCAGCTGACTCTCATCGTTCGCCGCGTGTCTTCTCTTTGGGTGATTATGTGTACCTGAAACTGCAGCCATACCGTCAGCATTCACTTAAACCACGGAAGACTCCGCATAAGCTCTCCCCTCGCTTCTATGGTCCATTTCGTGTTATCGGTGGGAGCTGCAGCATACAAGTTGGACCTACCCGCGGGTGCTGCAGTTCACAATGTCTTCCACGTCAGTCAGCTAAAGCTTTGCCCCTAATCCTCCGACTGCATCTGCTCCTGCATTACCGCAATACTGGCTGGATATAGGTAACTCTAAAGAACCTGAGTCTGTGTTGGATAAGAAGGTCGTTAAGCGCAAGAACACAGCAGCCACCAAAGTCTTGGTCCAATGGAAAGGGGAATCTCCTGAGCAGGCTATCTGGGAGTTCTATCAGGATCTCATGGCTAAGTATCCTCATTTTCATCTTTTAGGGCAAAGATGATGTCGAGCAGGGAGTATTGTGACAGGATTCTCCTGCATTTCTATCCTTCGGCTTTTTATTCACATTTAGAGTCGGTTTTATGTTTTAATGATCCGGTTTGCATACCGGTTAAGGTCAATTGTTTAGACCGTTGCATCAATAATCATACATTATGTACTATGTACGGGATTCATTTTTATATTATTAATCAGAATATTATCCTTCATCTTATCCTCTTATCTCTCTCGTTCACCATCGTCATCGTCCCCACGGATCTCAGTACTTTGAAGTGGTCCTTCTTCCCTTTTGATCCACCTTTCAGTCTTTGATTCCATCGTATTTGAGATCCCTTATGGGCTTCGGCCCATGAGAATTTCTGGAAGGGATCTCTTCGGGGGTAAAGCCTTACAAGTTTCTAGTTCAATTTTTTTGGCATTAGCTTAATGTGTGACATGTGTTAGACGTTAGTTGCATGCCTGGTTTGTTTGCAATTTTTTTTTATATAAGATTTACCCAGATGCTTTTGAAACCAAACCGGAAGGTAAATTGGGTGGTTTGTTTTTTCGTGAAAATAAAATCAATGGTCTTAACAATGTTTACTTGTACATCTGATGGAAACTCGGTAAAAAAAAAATATAATCCCTAAATTATGGCAAACGTACGCATATGTTTTCTCGATGACTCTCAATTTTATTGTAGACCCGCAAGCAAGTTAGGAGAATATACAAGAGAAAGCCAAAAACCAGTTTAATTTCCAACTGCAAGACGAAACGAAAGACCAACGAAATTGTTTAGAGGAGTTTAAAAACACTTTGTTGTCACGAGTTTGACAATAAGTGTATCGTGGAGTTGTTTAAGGTTAGCCATGTTTGTCTATTGTGTCGGTTCGAGTTACCACGTGGAGATGATGATTTTTCTCAAACAACCACAGATTCTAACTGATATACTAACCGCTTTACTTGAATCTTAAAAGCGATAAATACTTGCGTGCAGTAGAGTGGTTCACTGGTTTGTACTAGTGTTGTCCTTTTTCATTACCCATATTCAGGGGTGGACGCATAAAAATTATTTATATGGAACACAAAAAATATTATAATAAAAAATTATAATTGTAAAAACAAATTTGAAAAATGATATCTTATAATAAATTTCAAACTTTCAGTTTTAAAAAAAATATATACTGATAAACAAAACTATTTTCATTGATTTTCAGATATTTTCACATATAAAAATATACTCTTTTAAAAAAGTAAATAAATAATAATAAAATGGCTTTTACACAAAATTAGATTATAAACTACTTGATAAATATCTAATAAAATTTAGTGTCTTTAGTTATTTATTTTTAAGTATATAACTGTAAAAAAATTAATAAAAAAAAACTAGTTTATT